CAGAGTGCCTAAATGTCTCCAGTCCTCCTCCAGAGGTTGTGCAGTCTCTGTGCTTCCTGTCTTCCTGTGGTTGACTGTTGTGTTCAACAGGCTATAAGGGTGTTGGTTCCTTTAAAGAAGCTGACAGGAGTACTCCACTGTGCCACACTTCCCTCTGCAGGCACAAGTGGAAACATCCACATCTGATTGTTTTTTTTCCATCATATAGTTCAAAGACTTCTTATTTTAATGTCACTGTTGTCGGCCTCTATTAACTTCAATCTTTGCAAAGACAGGAAAAGTGTCACCCTTTAATGTACTTTCTGTAATATTTGTTTTTTCCCTGCTATAATGAATAGTAAACCTCTTGTGATCATGCATCAGAATATATGAACAAACTGTAAATCTTTGCGTTACAGAGAGGCTTGCTGATTTTTTAAAACTGAATATCCTGACCAGGTGTTATGTAGGAACGATCATTTACAAGGCTTTCCACTGTAAATGAAACATGTCGTCTGCACAGGCTGAAAAGCTTTATGCTGAGCTGCAGCTTCTGCATCAACTGCTCATATCAAGTAGTATTAGATGAATCCTTACAGCTGGAGCTACATTTTGACTGAAGTCTCAATCAGATGCTCCAGCAGGTTTGTTGTTGTGATTATTTTCCCTTCTTGGACTCAAGTTAAATTATTTGGTGTCTCTGCTGTGGTCCCTTTATCAGACAGAAAAGATGTCTAAATTTGTGATCATGCATCAGAATGTTTGTCTCATGAAGAAATGAAGCCACCCAAAGCCCTTCATTTGTTCCAGCATGGTCTTTATCTAGTCACTCTCCTCACAGAAACAGCAGCACAATTGACTAAGTGCCAGAGGACCAGAGGTGAGCACTGGCACTGAGGAAGTCTTAGACTTAAATTGTAATGTTTTGGAGCATCCAACAAAAGTCTAGGGACACTTCATCGATTCTTTGTGAATTCAAGTTTTGTGTGTTGCTTAGTGAGTGATGAGCCCTTCCCCTGGTAAGCAGTAGACTGCTGCCCTCTGCATCTGCTGCTGCTTTAGGTTAAACTTTACATAAATATGAGACTGGTTTTCTGCCTGATTTTTCTGGAACAAAAAAAGAAAAGAAAAAAAAACATTTCTTGCAGGTACTAAGGTACCTGCGTCAGCCAATACTTATGGGGTTTATTATGACAATGTATGTGTCCAATCTGCAATGTTCAGACTGTCATGAAAAGAACAAATACAGTTTGCATAGGGGCCAGTACACCTGATTTGCGTCGTTTCACGCAGGAAAGAAAATGAAAATCAAGAACAAAGTGAACCAATTGCAGGAAGAGGAAGTTTAAAACACGAGTCTTACATAGACTCTCAAAACACAAATTCAAAACTCCCCGTCAAATGAAAAAGACAAAACCATTTGAAAAGGAAAACATAATCTCTTCATGCGTTAAGAGGAAATGGGTTTCTCTGGCTGGCTGATCAGAAGACATTGTCAGCAGTGAGGCTTCATATAATCCAAACTGCATCACTTCCAACACTGAATGTGTTTATGATTTGGAAAGCTTATAAGGAAAGTCTGCATTTAAAAGCTGTTAAAGGAAACTTTGAAGAAAAATCATCATTTTAAGTCATTTATCTTTGTGTACTCAGACCTTTATGATGTTGTCCTTTGCTTGAGACTTGTTATTTTGAAAGAAGCATAAAGTGGCCTTTAACTGCCAGTAAAAGAGGCATAAACCTCCCGTTTTTCTATTGAATCAATATACTCAGATTTACATTAATTTCATTAAGCTCAAAATAAAGGTTGTACATGCATAGAACAAATATAAAAATTTGATCCAGACTTTATTTTGCTATTTTTACTCAATCCCTCCTCAGTTGGTTCCTATAAGTTCTCAAGTTTCTTAATTTTCAGACATATTTAAAAGCAGCTCTCTATATTCTCTGAAACTTTGTCATGTTGTCAGGAATGGTGTTGTTTTGAGTTGACAGGAACCAAGAGGCTTTCTCCGTCTTGTCATTATACTTTTAATCTTCATTGCAATCAAAGATTTTATAGATCAGACTCACTAGGTGCAACAGACAAACTCAGAATAAATGTGGACACAACTCAGACTAGACTCAGACAGAGCTTAGACGAAACTTAGATTAGACTGCCGCGCCAAACCACGCGTTAAACTTAATTTGTTACAGGTGTAACAAATTACTAATTAGTGAACAATATAGAAGGAAAACCGGCAGTACACATGAAAACACTTGAAACTTAAAAATAAACCCTAACTAAACAGAGAACACAGAAAAAACACAAAAACCCCACAAAGAAATCAACATTATGACACATGTTGCTTAGGTTCAGGATTTATTCCACTTTTATTGCCAGTAGATATCAGCTTAAAACCCCCAGTTCGATGAACTGGTCCCTATCTTCAGGTTGGGAGATCCAACAATCCTTTACTGGGCCAACACAGACAGACAGGCATACTAATACATTCTCATCTCAGAGCAATCTAATCTTACTATTTAATCCACCATCTATATATTCTGGATAGTTAAGTGGAACCAGAGTATCCAGACAACAAAACAGGGTCAACATGCAAACAGTCCACAGATGGGATCTGACTGGGACCTTCATGAAGCTGACACAGTCCTGGGGTATTGCTGAAGTATTGCTGGGTAAAGTCATACTCAAAACAATAAACACATTCTGAAAAGTTAATAATTTTAGCAGGTAGTGAACAAGCAAAATGTGGAAGTAGCCCTTTGGTTGGCCTAATTTCCCTGAAGGACCAGAATTTAAAGCCCATCTCTGAGTAGTGCTGATATACTTTGCCCTGGGTAATAAGAAACCCTGCTGTAATAAACCTGTTGTCGATACATAATGGAAAAATCTTCAGACCTGGTTCTAAGCCTATTGCCAGTATCCAGTGTCTGCTAGGCTCACTGCTATCAGAATTTAAAGCCTATGAAAAATGGAAAAGGGCACATTGTTGGCTCCAGGCCTGGCCACACACTCAGCCCTTGGGCAAAGGCCCTAACCCATAACATCTTTGCCATTTTCCTCTGCTGTGTATGTGTGTGTGCTTTTTCCACACACAGCTCTCCACTGACACTAAATTGGCAACACACTGTTTTGTCATTGTGATGAAATGAGCCCTGATTGCCCAGTTCTTTGCCAGGTAAAATACATTTGTTATTCTATTACAGCTTGATAGACCTGCCTGCCTAAAGGTAAATTCAAAAAAGTCTTTAGCAGTGCAAGGTTTGCCAGAGGCCTTTTTGGCTCCTTCCAAGCATTTTTTGCCAAGTGACAGGATGGCTGCCAGTTTCCACAGCAATCTCCGCCACCTGTGATGGATGGCCCAGTGGGTTAGTCTACACAACGCAGCTGTGATTGCACAGAGCCATAATGGAGGAATAGAAAGAGGGAAAGGGGGGCCTGTGAGCAGGAGATAGACAGAGGTTTTATAAGCTTTCATTTGCTTTGAGCAGAAATATTGAGAGTAGATTCAAAGCTTAGAGACTGGAGAATTAGTTGCGGTCATCCAGAACTGCTCCAGTTTGCTCTGTGCCCTGACAGAAGAATAACTGAATAAAAAATTTGAATTTTTTTTTTTTTTTTTTTTTCCTTATATATTATTTCCAGTCAGGCAAAGCAGAGAGTAGTTGGGATTAAACACAGACGAATAGAATTTGGTTATTAAAGGGAGAACCTACTTCATTGAAAAACTCTGTACAGCCACATGAAAAATGGAAATGTTTGGTTCTGTGATCAAACCGTGTTTAAGTTAGAGGCATTTATTAAACATACACTATATTGCCAAAAGTATTTGTTCACCCATCCAATTTATCAGAATCATGTGTTTCAATCACTTCAACGGCAACAGCTGAATAAAATGAAGCTCCTAGGCATGCAGACTGTTTTTACTAATATTTGTGGAAGGAATGGGTCACTCTCAGAAGCTCTCCTAATATCTTAATCTTAATAATAAGACCAGTCCAAGAGTGTTAAATAATGTGTTTGTGTATTTTGATCATTATTTGTATTCTGTGCTTCCTTAATTTGGGCTACTGTATCACTTCCTAGTCTTATGCACAAGTGTGCTGTGGAACGTGCAGTGTCTTGTGTTGGGTCAGCAGCATCAGAGCCAGGGTCAGAACTAGAGGCTGGTTCTGTTCTGGAGCCTCTGAAAATGATAAGGCAAAAAAGAATTCTTCAAAAACATAAAAAAATATTACAGACAAACCTGAACATCAGTGTCACCATCCAGGGACTTCTTCAGCCCCGCTGTGATACAGACTGCTACAGGAAATCTTTTCTGCCCACAGTAATCAGCTTCTACCACAACTCTTTAAAATAAATTGTAATATTTAATTTCCCAATATTTTAATTGAATTGAACGTCATACTTGCTGTATATTTGTTTTTGGTTTAATATATATGGGTGTCGACCATAATGGGAAAATTCTAAGTGATAATACTTGACTCTTGTCATAAAGAATGTCTTTTATCTATACTATTGACAAAATATATGAAATAAAAAGATAAAACAAATCATCTAATTGTAATTACAATTGGTGCCTGACCAGAGGTCTGAACATAGCTGACAGGAAGGTTCTGCAGCCAATAAAGTCTCTGTTTTACCATGAACATCTTTCATTGTGGTTGTTTGGGCAACCCCAGATTTTTGATGACTTTTAAAATCATCAAAATAGTTCCAGCATATAACATTTTGGCAAGCTGTGCATCCAAAAATAGACTGAAGGTTCTTAAATTTAGGAAAGCAAAATATGTTTGTTGAGCTGTGGCTGGCACAACATCACACAACCATAAACGGATATTAGGAGCTCAGTTAATTCAGACATGATCAGAACCCTGATCCAATAAGGTACCTTAAATCCCTTTTTGGTTTGGTTGTGGAGAGAGAAGCGCACAACACCTGCTGCAGATCACGCTTCAGCATTTTTTAATTCCTTCAATATAATTAACCAATAGCTCTCATTTGTTTTGTTTTTCTGCAGAGAGACATGCTGGATGTCAATCAAATAATGAAGGATCTAGCCAGTATGGTCCATGAACAAGGAGATACAATAGGTAAGACCTTTTTTTTTTAAAAAAAAAAAAAAAAGGTTGGTTCATTTGTCTTGTCTGACTTAGTTTGAAAAGTTCATAAGAAAACTGGTAAAACTGCTTTACTATCACAAACAATTCTTGTGGTCAAAATAAAAAACTTTTCAACCTTTGCACCAGAAAAGCTTCTCTGATGTTAAGCAAAATGCAGTCGGGATTACACAGACATTGGTCTGTGAGAGAAAATCCAGTTAGACGCTCTGATTTCTGTAAATGCTCCTCAGTTCCCTGAAGTGTTTTACTCTGGGCAAGTAGAATGAAACTTAGCACTGAGATACACATGCTTTGCTGCTGGGATTGTTCCATCTGGTTTAATCAAGAACACTCAAAAGAGAATTGGTCTCTAATAAATGTCAAACAACCATGAAGCTAAAGAGACATACGTGGAAAATGTTGAGCTGATTGGGTGGTACATCAGTTCTGGAGTGAGGTGAAAGGTCTCAGAATATAGATAGATCCAAGCTGAGAATACTGTCCACAGCTTTGTTTGAGGTTTGCAAAGTTTAGTTGGTGAAGGAGAACAAACTGTTTAAACATGGATTTAAGGTTGCTGCAGATATATGAACATAGAACGGTAGAGTAAGCAAAAACTGTACCTAAGAGTAACATTACTTCATTATTTCTCCGCAAGTAGAAGTAAAAAATGGTATTCAGAAAAATCAATCAAGTAGGAGAAAAAACTGTATTTGATTAAAAGAACAGTTCAGTAACTGACTGATTATAACATCAGATTTATTTAGTGAAAAAAAGAGAGAAAAATGTATAAAGGTAACTGCAAATGTGGATATTTTAAATAAAATAAAAGTACAAACAAATCATTCCACTTCTAAATAATAAATTGAAGCAGAACAAACATATTTTCAAATGTTTGTTTATTTTAAAAAGAAAACTTTTGAAACCAATATTTAAAGTTAATAACATGTTAAAAATGTATGTTATGTAGATTCAATTTAGAACCTCAAATTAAGCTTATAACCTTTCAATAAGAGCAGACTTATTTCTGAGAGTTTTCTCATCCTGATTAGCATCAGAGCAATACCCACTGACTTTTTTCTTATGTGAATAGATTTTCAAGTATTTCGGTAACAACTGCCATAGTTTGGGGGTAAAACTTTAGATTATATTTAAAGATAACTACATGGTATTTTTCTAATATCATACACCACATACACAAAAATGTTTGTGCATAACCACTTCTGGAATTCTGGACGAGCCCCCAAGAAACTGCTGCGGCAAATAAGATGAGTTTAATATGAAGAAGAAAACTGGAATGGGGCAGTCATTCTTCACTCACAGCCTATTAACTGATAAAAAAGGACGAAGGATAATGTGTTTGGAAAAAAAAAAAAAAAAAAAACTACAATATGTTATCAGCTAAATGCCGAGCTCGAGCTTAAACAATCTAAACACAGTGTTCCCTACACAGCTCTCTTT